AAGGAAGACACACATCGTCCTTTGGAGGCACTTACATTACAGTTCTACAGATTTCGATGGCAAGACACTTCAGTGAAGAGTAAACCTTCATGAAACACAGCCAAGTTTCCTTAAAGTATTTGAACAAATGCTATTTGGGCAGGTGGGTGGGGGGAGGTTAGGACTTAATGTTCAGAATTTACTTTCCAAATAACATTGAAACTTTTCCTCTTGTTACAAAAGATTGACAGTGATAAGTAAACAATGATTCTTTATCCCCTATATGATGTTCAGTTTTTTATTTCAATTTTCATTATTCTTACCCACATTTCCTTCCACTGTTACAGAAATGTTTCGTTAGATAAAATTCTACTTTAAAATTCTATAAGGCTCGGCGAAGTCAATTTACTTTTAATGTATGAAGGAAATTAAGTGGTATCTCCTTTGATTCTTAGTAATCTGCTCATTTCCTTTTTCCTGTAAAATTTTCCCATCACTTTGTAAATGCTGACTGTCTCTTCAGGCTCTACAATTCCAACAAAGATTTTGGGCCACAATTGAATCATATTTTAACTCGATTTATGCTAATTTTGACAATTTAGATACACATATCATATAAGAACATATAAAAGTATATGCTACTAATTTACAATTCCAGATGACAGATTTGAAATTAAGGTAATGAAATGAATTGGTTCAGAGACTTGTACTTACACATGCAAAGTGCCACAGAGAGCGATTAAGCAAAAATTACTGCTAAAAGTCAAAAGAGGAAGTCTAGATTATTTGCTTGACTTGCTTTGTCATTTGTTTATGACTTGTTCTTCCTCTAGCATTCCTCATAATATTTTTCACTTCTCCCTCTTACCAAAGCAATCTATATACAGTAGCTGGCTGCGTATGCTCAGCAGAACTGTAGTAGATACTTTCTCTGGACTGAAGCAGTTTGCTGTATTTGGATTTGTTATAAATATAAAAATTAATGTAAAAAATTTCAAGTCCCAATCCACCTACCACCTATGAAATAAAAACTTTATCATTCTCCATGTTCCCTTTGTTTTCTTGCAGGTTTTATTTGTGAACTGCCTTGTCCTGTTTGACATACTTCTCTTGCTGCCTCTTTGTGATCAGTCTGGATTATAGATTTTGAGGAAGGAAATCATGAGTTTTTCTCCAATGTCTTGTATTATAGTAGAACTAAGCAGTGGCTGACATATGGCTTTTTATTTTTAATTATATTTTATTTGATTATGCTATCACAGTTGTCCCAATTGTTCCCACTATGCCCCCTCCACCCAGCACCCCCACTCCCTCAGTCAGTCCTCCTACCATTGTTCATGTCCATGGGTCATGTATATAAGTCCTTCCGCTACTCCATTTCCTGTGCTGTACTTTACATCCCCATGGCTATTCTGGAACTACCTATTTGTACTTCTTAATCCCCTCACTCCTTCACCCATTCCTTCACTTCCCTCTCCCATCTGACAACTGTCAAAATGCTCTCTGTGTCCATGATTCTGTCTCTGTTCTTGTTTGCTAAGTTTGTTTTTTTTAGATTCAGTTGTTGAGAGATTTGTATGCATTGCCATTTTGTTATTCACACTTTTGATCTTTTTCTTTAAAAAGTCCATTTAACATTTCATATAATAATGGTTTGGTGATGATGGAATCCTTTAGATTTTCCTTATCTGAGAAGCTCTTTACCTTCCCTTTGAGTCTAAATGATATCTTGCTGGGTAGAGCAATCTTGGCTGTAGGTCTGTACTTTTCATGACTTTGAATACTTCTTGCCAATCCCTTCTAGCCTGCAAAGTTTCTTTTGAGAAATCAGCTGACAGTCTTATGGGGACTCCCCTGCAGGTAATAACTTGTTTTCTCATGCTGCTTTTAAGATTGTCTCTTTATCTTTAACCTTTGGCATTTTAATTATGAAGTGTCTTGGAGTGAGCCTCTTTGCATCCATCTTGTTTGGGATTCTTTATGCTGGACTTGCATGTCTATTTCTTTCACCAAATTAGAGAAATTTTCTTTCATTATTTTTTCAAATAGATGTCCAATTTCTTACTGTTTCTTTTCTCCTTCTTGCATCCCTGTCATGCTGGACCTCTTGAAGTTGTCCCAGAGGCTACTTACACTATCCTCATTTTCTTGGGTTCTTTTTTTCATCTTGTTCTGATTGGTTGTTTTCATTTCCTTATGTTCCAAATCATTGATTTGATTCTCAGCTTCATCCACTCTACTGTCATTTCCCTGTAAATTGTTCTTTATTTCAATTACTGTATCCTTCATTTCTGACTATATCTTTTTTATGTTGCTGAGGTCCTCCCTAAGTTGCTTGAGCATCCTTATAACCAGTGTTTTGAACTCTGTATCTGATAGGTTGCTTATCTCCATTTTGTTTAGTTACTTTTCTGGAGTGTTGATCTGTTCTTTCATTTGGGCCATGTTTCTTTGTCTCCTAATTTTGGCAGCCTCCCTGTGTTTGTTTCTATGTATTAGGTAGAGCTGCTGTGACTCCCTGTCTTGGTAGTGTGGCCTAATGAAGTAGGTATCCTATAGGGTCCAGTGGCACAGCATCACCTAAACTGAGTACTTCAGGTGTGCCTTTTCTGTGGGATGAGTACACTCTCCTGTTGTGGTTGAGCCTTGATTACTGTTGGCAGGTCAATGGGAGGGATTTACCCAGACCAGTCAGCTACAAGGATTGGTTGTGTCCATTGACCACCCACCTCCACCCTCCATGGAGGCACAGCTGTGAGGGTGCAGGGTGGTGGTACTCCAAAGTGGCCTGTAGCTTTCCACTGGGTACACAGACTCTGTGGTTTCCCAAGAAAGGTCAACATCCACCTTTGTTTTGCTGAGGGCCACCCTGCCTGAACTGTAAAGCAATTTATGTTGGCTGTTACTTCCTTGTGCTGGGCTTGGAGCTTCCTAGGGAAAGCCAAGCTATGAATCTAGGCTGGTTGTCACTAGTGCTGGGCCTGGGGCCACTTAGCAAGAGGTACAGCTGCTGGGGGCTCACTGAAGCTGGCTGTTGCTTATTTGAGAGGATTTAGAAAATTGTGAAGCAAGACCCAAGATCAGTCATTCATATGAAAAAGCAGCTTGGTTCAGCCTATAAATTGGGTGGGACAGAGTCTCTAGGGATCTCTAGGGTGGGGCAAACAGTGTTAGCCAGAGTGATGGAGTCTCAGAAATGGCACCAGCATCCAGCTCTGTGGCTCTGTGGTGGGAGGGTTCAGAAAAAGGACCATGGCCTCTGTCAGACAATTCAGTTTCTCCCTGTATGCCACTAGTGCTTTTCAAGCTGCTACCCTGGTGCTGGAGGTCAGAGGGAATGAGTCTGTTGTAGTTTGTGTGGGTTCTTTAGTAGGAACTGCTTGGGACTCTGAAAGTTTCTTCCAGTGACTCAATCCCTGTTAGGTTTTGCTGCCAGAAGTTGTAGGGACTTATCTTCCTGGCACTGAAACCCTGGGCTGGGCGGCGTGGTGTGGGGCTGGGACTTCTTACTCCTGAGATAACCCTCTGGAGTTGTTACCTACCACACGTGGATGGGGGACCAGCCCATTCCCTATCTGTGGCCCTCCTATCTGTCTTTATGGACGTGTTTTCTTTAATTCTGTAGTTGTCAGATTCAGCTCAATTTCTGAAAATTCTGAGTGATAGTTGTTCTACATTTTTGCTGTAATTTAGATGTGGTTGTGCACAGAGGTGAGCCATGTTTCTCTATGCTGCCATCCTGACTGGAAGTCTCCAGATGGCTTTTTGAGATAACTGGATAGTGATTGACATTTCCAGAAAAATTTTTAATCCAGCACCCTGGACTCAGCTTCAAAGCAGAATATATCTTGTGATGATTTTTAAACTTTTGTTAAAAATTGAGAATACGCGGGTTGGGAACTAAAGTGTCCCAGGTTCGATTCCCAGCCAGGGTACATTCCTGGGTTGCAGGCCATAACCCCCAGCAACTGCACATTGATGTTTCTCTCTCTCTCTTTCTCTCTCTCTCTCCCTTCCCTCTCTAAAAATAAATAAATAAAATCTTAAAAAAAAAAGACTTGACTGTAATTTAAAAAAAAAAAATTTGAGAATAAATATAATTGCTTAGATGGAAAGGTCCATATGTACATGTTCTTGAACATTATGGCCAAGGTATATTTTATATTTAATAACATTATTTTTTATCATTGGTTTCTTTTATGAGGTCATGTATAAATTTTAGAGTTACACTTGGGTTATAATAACATCAATTTTACTGTCCACCAACTTGTGACCTTGGTGAGTTAGTTTCCTGGGGCTGCTGTAGTCAAGTGCCACAACTGGGTAGCTTAAAACAACAGAAATGTGTTTCCTCACAGTTCTGGGCTTAGGAGTCCAAAATGAAAATGTCTGCAAGGCAGTGCTCCCCTCAAGGATCTAAGAAAGAACCTTTCCTTGTCTCTTCCTAGCTGCTGGTGGTTGCTGGTAATTGGGCATTTTTTTAGTAACTCTAAAGGGCCAGTGGCATCTCTAAATCGCATTTACCTCTTGGCTCTGCAGTGGTGTCTAGGTCATAGTGGTCTTATGATTCCAGAGTGGTCAGGGGGTTCTCCCAACTGTATGACATTATTGTGGAACTAAACAGTGACAGACATGCTTTTTGGCACGATGAGCTACTGAGTTGTATAATATTTCAAGGACAACATTAGTGCAGTGTCTTCAACTTAGATTTAAAGCAGAGTCTAAAAATTAGTTTTATTTGAAAATTGGAAAAAGAAATAGCCATTCGGATAATGGCTTCTCCAAAATCCAATTTGAATTGGTCTACTTGCATTGATTAAATTAGATGATGACTAGATTTCCCTTTCAGTTGGTCCTGTTGAAACAGAATCATAACATGACTTAGATATTTATTACCCAACGAAAGTTAAATCAGCATTGTACTTAAATTTTATCTCTGTTCCAACATGCCAGAGAAAGCGCGAGGTGAATGGTTTAAGATTTATGTTTTGTTTACTGATTGCCAATCCTTTGGTTTTTAGATTTGCTGGAAGCCATAGAAGAGATCCTCCCCAACCTCCCAGAAGATATCAGTGTTTGGGCAGTGAGAGACTCTGTTCCCCAAGGCATAAGTTCACTCACAGAAAAACTGACAACAGCATCTGACAAGCCAGTGCCAAGCAGCCACCGTGTTGCCTCAAACCTCAAGTCTCCCTATCTTTATATTTTTACCTCTGGAACAACAGGTATGATTTCTTTTTTCTTAAAATCTAAAAAGAAAGCAACAATCTTGGACAAATGTCTGCCAAGAGTAGTGGCATTAAATTTAACTTGGTCAACCTTTAATTTGGCGAGCCCCCATGTCCACTTACTACTTGGCTATTGTCTTCGAGTTCGGCAGCACCAAGAGCAAGGGACCATCGAAGCCTTGACCAGCTTCTTTGGCAAGATCTTTGCTAGCTTCTCTGTTCCTTAGATTCCTGATATATGAAATGAAGAGATTAGTTTAAATAGTTTCTAATTATCCTGCTGGGTAATCCATTGGTCTACTTTAAAACAGCTTTTTATATTCTTGTGGAAAATGTTAAATCCTAAACAGATTTCAACTATAGCTGTATTTTAAGCTCCTGTGGCTGGCCCTGCTGATTTTCCTCAGGGCGATTGCAACATGTGACAAAAGGGAAGTCTTGAAGGCATTTCAGATTTGGGAGAAAATACAAAATAGAATTAAGAAACCACACCTTCCCCTTTTCAGATAAATAATAATAATAATACTACACACACACACACACACACACACACACACACACACACACACAAAATAATGAAACTGCCCAAGAATTCAAAAAAAATGTTAAACTTTATTGATTCTTAAGAAAAACTGAATGGTATTTTGTAGGCTAAAGCTTTTGTGATTAGTTTGGAGATGACTGGAGGTGTGAATCAGACATATTAAAAATATTCTGTCACTAATTTCTTGTGCACAGGTAGTATTACTAGCAAAGCTACTATTGCATAAGTAAAGTTTCTATTTTTCTTTTCCTTCCCTCCCTCACTCTCACCCACCCTTCCTTCCTTCCTTCCTTCCTTTCTTCCTTCCTTCCTTCCTTTTCTTTTCCTTTCTTTTCTTTTCTTTTCTTTTCTTTTCTTTTCTTTGGAGCTTAATAATGATCTCTTTTAGACTAGAGAGCAGACTGTATTTTTGACTATGCTTACAACAGCTTTGATAAACAAAGTGGAAAATGCTATTATAATATGTATCAGGTCAGCATAAATTCAGTCTGATTTTAGACTTTGAAAGAGACAATGAAATTGTAGAAATGATAAACTTTGAAAAATTCCAACAGAAGGTACTTAACTGGTATATCTTTATGACTGTTGTGAAAAGTAGAAAGTGATTCTGGTCTTCAAAACAGTCCCCACCACTTCCCCCTTCTCTACAGCCTCCTCCCCAGCCCAGAGAGAACAGGCTGGAGTGCTCCATTACCAGCCTTTGTTCTTCAAGATTAAAACCAAAGTGTTTTATACATGTGCACAACAGACTGAAAACAAAAGCACTACTATTTTTTTCTTGATATTTACTTGTATGGAAGTTATATAGCACAGAGGTAAAAAATTCTAATAATTTTAGAAGTTTTAGGGGAAAGCACCCCGCTTACCCCCTTATGTCTCCTACCCCAAACCAACCACATTTAGTACTTCTGCATCTTTCCTACTATAATTACCTCCATATGTCTAAATAGAATCAGTATCTAACTAGACACTTAATAGATACATTCTAAAAAGTGTCTACTGATTTTCCAGGAGGATGAGGATTTTGTCTTCGTTTCTCACTATTCTCTCCCTCCACTCATTTCTCTTGTGCAGGCACTTGCTCTCCCCATCATCACATTGATATTGTTTCATCATAAATTTTGACTTGATTGGTATCAGTATTATAACCCGGTAAACACTATCTCTAGCTTAGGTCTATGGTATAATAAAAGTATACTTATTTTCTTTCACATAAAATTCCCTCCAACCTAGAATTAATCACTGTTTTTTTCTTGTTTGCTTGCTTAGGTTCCTATACACCTAAAACTGGTTCCTACTCACCCCTTCCTCAAAAAGGTTTGATATTAGAAAGACAGTGTATTGTATCAAGCCCATGTTTTCATATACCTCTTCCCCAGAACCTTCCTCCTCTATTTCAGCCTTGATGAGTTACTCTCTTACAGCCCTGGGTTCATTCTTCACCAGCTTCCTGGGAATTCCCTTCGACTCTTCTTTTTCCTGATCCCCTAATTCCTAGACCCTAAGTTTGTCTCCTGATTTACTTTTTTTTTTATCATTGTCCTGCTATCAGATAAAGAGTGTTTAGAAGGTAAGTTTGAGTCCTCACATGTCTGAAAATGTCTTTTTTTTTCTACCCTTACACTTATTTGTATAAAATTCTAGGTTAGAAAAGATTTTTTTTTGCAGAAGTTTGAAGACATGTTCTAATACCTTCTGACTTTCAGCATACATATTGAGTATTCTTTTTCTTTCTGATTTCTCATCCTATATGTGCAAACTGGTATTCTTTTTTTTTCCTTTGGGCATTTTTAGAATTTTTTATGAGTTTTTATTAGTCTATAACATCATAATGACTTGTACTAGGACTGCTGTAAATTGTTCTTTTGCTGGGAAATTTGTAGGCCTTTTTAGTCTAGAAACTCAGATCTTACAATTCTAGTTACTTGAAAAAAAATTTTTTAATTCTACTGTACGTTCCCTTCTCTTTCCTTTTTTATTTCTGTTCTTTCTCCCCATTGTTTGTTTATTCTTTCTCCCTCACTTGTTTGTTTATTCATTTATCTTTGGAACTCTAACTTTTTGAAGATTGGCCCTCCTGGATGGAGTTATTTATTTTGTATTTTTTTGTATCCCATTTTTCTATCCCATTTTTCTCCTTTATCTTTCAATTTACTTTTTGAGAGATTTATCTTCTAACTCTTGTGCTTCCTGAATATTCCTCTCTTTGTTATCTTTGTATATTGACATTCTATAGCCTCATCTCTCTTAGAATATTAATTATAATAATTTTTTTGAAAATTTGAGTCCTGGTTGCTCAGTGGATTGAGCGCGGGCTGCCAACCAAAGCATCGCAGGTTTGATTCCCAGTCAGGGCACACGCCTGGGTTGCAGGCCATGGCCCCCAGCAACCACACATTGATGTTTCTCTCTCTCTCTCTCTCTTTCTCCCTCCCTTCCCTCTCTAAAAATAAATAAATAAAATCTTTAAAAAAATTTGTTCTATCTTGTCTTTATTTTCCTCATCATCCTTTTGTTTTGGGTTTGTATTGGTCTTCAATCTTTACCCTAGAGAATTACCTCAAATATCTATTGATTTTGGGCTGACAGTTAATATTTAAAGTACAGACACCAGAACACAAACACACAAAACATGCCCTATCCTGACTAGATGAGCTCAGTGTGCCTACGTGGGCCTGGTGGACTGACTGGTGTCATTGTCCAGGACACTTTGTTGGGGGGTTCATGACTGTCAGTGCCTTTCAGTTTTTACTATTCTGAGCTATGTGGAGTCCTCAGATGAGAATCTGGAAGGGTAAACCTAGTCAAGGGTTAAAAAGGAGCTGGAGGAGTGTGCAGACTTTCTCTTATTCTCCATCTGTCCAGTCTCTCTTCTTCCTGCTATTTCCAGAGTCACCTTTTGCAGAGAATAAATTTGAGATCTACCAGGGGAGAAGAAGCAATCCTGAGCTGTAGTTTATTTTTATTTTTATTCTTTTGCATTTTAAAACAAATATCAAAAGTATATGTTGAGCCCTGGCTGGTGTGGTTCAGCGAATTAAGTGCTGACCTGAGAACCAAAGGGCCACCAGTTCAATTCCCAGTTAGGAATGAGAAGCAATATGCCTGGGTTGCAGGCCAGGTCCCCAGCAGGGGATGTGCAAGAAGCAACCACACATTGATGTATCTCTTCTTCTCTTTCTCCCTCCCTTCCCCTCTCTCTAAAAATAAATAAATAAAACCTTTTAAAAAAGTATATATTGATATTCTTGCAAAATTAGTTTGTGAATGATTTTATTATACAGAAAGAAATATGAATATCTTCTCATAGCCTAAAGTCCTGAGCACTATGAGATCTTGTTGAGAGCAGCACAGAGCAACATACAGAATTAGGCACACAGACAATGTCATGCTTTATGGATGTAAAGCTATCAAAGAGTGTAACAAAATCACATTGAGTTCAGTAAGGATTTAATTGACATTTTAATAAAACACATTTATCTCTTTCTCTCTCTCTCGCTCTCTCTCTAACATAAACTGATATTTTGCAACTCAAAACCTAGAGCTGAATTAAGTGATTGTAATGGTAAAAATATGAGAACTTACAATACTATGCCACCTAATATCATAAAAATCACTTGATTTTCACCACCACCAACATTGCATTGATAATGAAGGAGGTGTTGGTGCAAGTTAGCAAGTGAGGCTTTGAAAAGTTACACAATGAGAGTAGAGTCTGCTCATAGGCCCTTTCGGCAGGTTATAAGGGAACTCTTTGGATGATGTTGAATATTACCTAGCAACCCTTATTACTGCCAAGTCCTGTTTGCCCAAGATCACGAAAAGATTATATTCCAGACCCAGGAACAAATTCAGAGCATCTCTGAATAAGAAAAGAATTGAGGTCAGTTTTCATACCATTTATATCTTTTTGACTAGGGAGGTTATGTAATAACTTGATGAACAAAGGTTAAAAGTTACATAGACTCCCTTTTCTATGTCCTTGAGGTAATTGCTTCATAAACAGAACTTTTGAAACTCCCTATTTATAGTTCCATAACTATCTTTTACTCTATGAGGTACCTGGTAGTCAACTTTCTGAGCCTCTGTGGGATTTTCTGGGGGAAATCACCTTTCTTCAAGGCTTCACCTCAGTTTTCAGCTCTTTGAATGGGTGGTGTCAGTTGTCCATCTGCTTTGCTAAATTTTGTTGCTGTCATCTCTAATTCCATTCTTTTTGTTTTGAGGGTCCATGTGTGTATTCAGTCTGCCAACTTCCAGTTCTGTAATTGCCATTGGCCTTGGTTAGGTGGCCTCAAGCATGTCTAGTAATCCTAACACTTTTGTATCTTTATTTTCATATTGTACAGTAATTTTACTTTAAATTATTCAATAGGCTATTTTATTTATTGCAAATGCATCTGAAATTGCATGTTGGTTGTAATTATTGAACTGTCTGTGCACTGTATGTAACAAGCATTTTTAAGCTATTGTATATAAGTGGAAAGGGTATTAGAAGTGTAACTGTGCTATTATTTCAATAAAGACCTCTTGATACCTAAAGAAAAAGAGGAATGTCTAGAAAAGGCTGGACTTGATTTCTGTTACATATTACATATGTATTTTTTTCTTTACTTCTAGGTCTACCAAAAGCAGCTGTGATTACTCAGCTACAAGCTTTAAAGGGTTCAGCTGGATTGTGGGCTTTTGGTTGTACTACGGACGATATCATTTATATAACCCTTCCTCTGTATCATAGCTCAGGATCTCTCCTGGGAATTGGTGGATGTATTGAGTTAGGTAAGTTTTTATTTTGTTTATAATAAGTTTTGAAAATGCCTAATAATTAGAACTCATGTTTTTAAAGTTTTAAACTATACCAGTAGAATTCAGAATGATTGTGTGTGTATTATATAATCATACCACTTAATTAATTGTACAATTTATTAAAACTGCACAATTTCATTACATATTCAGTATATTCCTTTTTTCTAATTTTGATAAATTTATTTTATTTTTTTTGTATTTTTCCATTACCATTTAGTCTCCTTACACCTCCCTTCCTTCCACAATCACCACAGTGTTGTCCATGTCCATGAGTCCTTTTTGCTCAGTGGCTCCACCCCCTCACCTCACCCCTGCCTTAACTGTCATCCTGTTCTCTATGAGTCTGTCTCTGTTTTGCTTATTAGTTCAGTTTGTTCATTAGATTCCACATATGAATAAAATCATATGGTATTTGTCTTTCTCTGACTGGCCTAGCATAATATTCTCCAGGTCCATCCATGCTATCACAAAGGGTAAAACTTTCTTCTTTTTATGGCCAAGTAGTATTCCACTGTGTAAATGTCCCATAGTTGTTTTATCCGCTCATCTACTGATGGACATTTGGGCTGCCTCCATGTCGTGGTGATTGTAAATAACACTGGAACAAACATAAAAGTGCTTTTGTTCTTTCAAATTAGTGTTTTCGATTCCTTCGGATACATTCCCAGAGATGGGAATGCTGGGTCAAAAGGCAGATCCATTTTTAATTTCTTGAGGTATCTCCATACTGCTTTCCACAGTGGCTGCACCAGTCTGCATTCCCATCAACAGTGCAAAAGAGTTCCCGTTTCTCTACATCCTTACCAGAAACTGTTGTTGGTTGATTTACTGATGATAGTCATTCTGACACGTGTTAGATGATTGGTAATATTGAGCATCTTTTCATATGTCTATTGGCCATCTGTAAGTCCCCTTTGGAGACATATTTCTTCAGGTCCTTTGCCCATTTTTTAATTGGGTTTTTTTTTTGGTGATGAGTTTTGTAAGTTCTTTATAAACTTTGAATATTAACCCCTTATGAGATATATCAGCAAATATGTTCTCAAATTCTGTGGGTTACCTTTTTAGTTTGTTGATGTCTTCCTTTGCTATGCAAAACTTTTTTAGTTTGATGTGGTCCCATTTGTTTAATTTTTCTTTTGTTTCCCTTGCCTGGGGAAATATATCATAAAATATTGCTACAAACAATGTCTGAAGATTTTGCTGCCAATGTTTTCTTCTAGGATCTTTATAGTTTTAGATATAACATTTAAGACTAGTCCATTTTGAATTTATTTTTGTGTGTGGTATAAGAAGGTGGTCTAGTTTCATTTTTCTGTGCATATCTTCCAATTTTCCCAGCACCATTTATTGAATAAACTATCATTAGCTGATTGCATGTGTTTACTTCCTCTGTTGAATGTTAATTGGCTATAAAGTGGTGGGTTTATTTCTGGACTCTCTAGTCTGTTCCATTGATCTGTGTGTCTGTGTTCATGCCAGTACCATGCTATTTTGATTATTTTGACCTTATAGTATAGTTTGATATTAGGTAGCATGATTCCCCCAACTTTGTTCTTCTTTCTCAGAATCGCTATTGCTATGTGGGGCCTTTTGTGGTTCCATATAAATTTTTGAAATATTTGTTCTATTTCTGTGATATGCATCATTGGTATCTTGATAGAAATGTGTTGAATCTATAGATTGCTTTGGGTAGTATGGACATTTTAATAATGTAAATTCTTCCTATCCATGAACATGGTAGGTGCTTCCACTTATTTGTATGTTCTTCAGTTTCTTTCTTCAGTGTCTTATAATTTTCCAAGTATAGTCTTTTACATCCTTGGTTAGGTTTATTTCTAGATATTGAATTCTTTTTGAAGCAATTGTAAATGGGATTGTTTTCTTAATTTCTCTTTCTGTTAGTTCATTATTGGTATATAAAAATGCAACTGATTTCTGGATATTGATTTTGTATCCTGCTACTTTGCTGAATTCATTTCTTAGTTTTAGTAGTTTCTTGGTGGGATCTTTGGGATTTTCTTTTTTTTATATATATATTTTTTCCAGAGATTTATTGTTCTTATTTTTTCTTTCTTTTTTCCTATTTTATTGATTATGCTATTACAGTTGTCCCATTTCCCCCCTTCACTCCCCTCCACCCTGTACACCCTCTCCCACCCACTTCCCCCACTTTAGTTCATGCCCATGTGTCATAAGTTCTTTAGCTTCTACATTTCTCATACTATTCTTACCTTCCCCTATCTATTTTCAACCTACAATCTATGCTACTTATTCTCTGTACCTCTTCCCCCTCTCTCCTCCTCCCACTCCCCTGTTGATACCCCTCCATGCGATCTCCATTTCTGTGGTTCTGTTCCTGTTTTAGTTGTTTGCTTAGTTTGTTTTTGTTTTTGTTTTTGTTTTAGGTGTGGTTGTTAATAATTGTGAGTTTACTGTCATTTTACTGTACATGTTTTTTATCTTCTTTTTCTTAGATAAGTCCCTTTGATATTTTATATAATAAGGGCTTGGTGATGATGAACTCCTTTAACTTGACCTTATCTGGGAAGCACTTTATCTGCCCTTCCATTCTAAATGAGAGCTTTGCTGGATAGAGTAATCTGGGATATAATGGTCCTTGTCTTTCATGACTTGGAATACTTCTTTCCAGCCCCTTCTTGCCTATAAGGTCTCTTTTGAGAAATCAGCTGACAGACTAATGGGAACTACTTTGTAGGTAACTGTCTCCTTTGCTCTTGCTGCTTCTAGGATTCTCTCCTTCATTTTAATTTTGGGCAATGTAATTATGATGTGCCTTGGTGTGTTCCTTCCTGGGTCCAACTTCTTTGGGACTCTCTGAGCTTCCTGGACTTCCTGGAAGTCTATTTCCTTTGCCAGAATGGGGAAGTTCTCCTTTATTATTTGTTCAAATACATTTTCAATCTGTTGCTCTACCTCCTCTCCTTCTGGTACCCCTATAATTCGGATGTTGGAACATTTAAAGATGTCCTGAAGGTTCCTAAGCTTCTCCTCATTTTTTTGAATTCTTATTTCTCCATTCTTCCCTGATTGGTTGTTTTTTTCTTCCTTCTGGTCCACTCTGTTTTTTTAAGTCCCATTTCCTTCTCATCACTATTGGTTCTCTGTGCATTTTCCTTCATCTCTTTTATGGTAACCTGCATTTCTTCATCTAATTTGCACCCAAAATCAACCAATTCTGTGAGCTTCCTGATCACCATTGTTTTGAACTGTGCATCTGATAGATTAGCTATCTCTTGGTCGCTCAAAAGGATGAGTTCTGGGACACTGATTTGTTCTTCTGTTTGAGCCATCTCTCTCTCTCTTTTTTTTTTTTTGGTCTGGTCGCTCCTGTTACAGTGAGGGGCGGAGACTTAGGTGTTCACCAAGGCTGGGCACCCCAGTCTCTAGATTGTGATGTTGTATTTGGGGGCGGGGTCGAGAGGGAACAATGGCGGTAGCTCTGGTCTCTGTGGGACCTCAGTCCCTTCTCTGGGATCTTGGGTTGCGCGCTCTGCCCTGCTCCACAACTGCCGCCTCACTGGGTCTGCCAGCTGCTGCTTGCATACTCAGGGTCAACCCGCTGCGATCTTGCGCACCCCTGATGCCTTAAATGCCCCCGGTTGCTTTATGCGCCCAATTCTCCCTGTTTTCCCCGCCTCAACTTGTGCTGGGCTGCTCGTCTCCGCCCCTCCTACCGGTCTGGATGAACGGGTCTGCTTCAACTTCTTGGCTGTCTGACTTCCATTCAGATAAATTTTCTGTCAGTTATGGGTGTTATTCTGCCTCTAAATTGTTATTGTTCCAATTTTGGTTGTGCGTGGAGGTATGGTGCATCCACCTATGCCTCCATCTTGGCCGGAAGTCCGGGATTTTCTATGTACAGTATCATGTAATCTGTAAATAATGATGGTTTAACTTTCTCCTTTCCATTTGCATGCCTTTAATTTCTTCCTCTTGTCTCATTGCTGTGGCTAGGACTTCCAGTACGATGTTGAATGAGAGAGGTGAAAGTGGACATACCTGTCTTCTTCCCAATCCTAAGAGAAACACTTGTAGTTTTTCCCATTGAGTATGATGCTGGCAGTGGGTTTGTCATATACGGCCTTTATTATGTTTAGGTATATTTCCTCTATTCTCACTTTGCTGTGAGTGTTTATTACAAATGGTGCTGGATTTTATCAAAAGCTTTTTCTTCATCTATTGATATGTTCATGTGGTTTTTATATTTTATTTTGTTTATGCGATGAGTCACATTTATTGATTTGTGAATGTACCAACCTTGCATTCCCAGTATAAATCCCAGTTGATCATGGTGTATGATGTTTCTGATGCATTGCTGTATTTGCTTTGCTAATATTTTGTTGAGGTTTTTAGCATCTATGTTCATCAAGGATATTGACCTATAATTTTCTTTTTCTGTAGTGTCTTTATCTGGCATTGGAATTAGGATAACGCTGGCCCTCAGAAAATGAACTTATAGGCCTTACTTCTTCTTGAATTATTTAAAATAGAGAAGGAGAGGTATTAGTTCTTCTCAGAATGTTTGGTAAAATTCATGTGTAAAGCCATCTGGTTCAAAGCTTTTGTTTGTTGGGAGTTTTTGACTACTGTTCCGATTTCACTAGATATAATCTGTCTATTAAGGTTCTCTGATTCTTCCTGATTTAGTTTTGGAAGACTGTATGTTTCTAGGAGTTTATTCATTTCATCCAGGTTGTCTAGTTTGTTGGCATACAGTTGTTCATAATACTTTCTTACAATCCTTTCTATTTATTTGTTGTCAATTACTATTTCTCCTCTTTCAGTTCTGATTTTATTTATTTGGGTCATCTCTCTTCTTTTCATGATGAGTCTCGTTAAAGGTTTGTCAATTTTGTTTATCTTTGCAAAGAACCAGCTCTTGGATACATGATCTTTTTTATCTTTTTTTAGACTCTATTTCATTTATATCAGCTCTGATATTTATTACT